GATTTAACATGTTTGTTAATAATTATTAGTCTAACTATTAAATTTTATAAGTAAAATTTTTTTAGCTTTGAATTCAAATTTAAAAATAATTATCTTTTAATAAATGTATTATGAAATATGTTGAATTAAGTGATACACCAATCATTGTCGAAAGAGACTAGATCAATGGAATTTTTTAAAGTTTAAAGAACAGTAAAGTAAAGAAGGAATAATACTTGGAATAAAATAACACTCAAAGAATTTTCATTCCTTTAATGGTGAACACCCAAAGAATCCAATTACTAAAAAAAAAAAAACCCCTCAAAGAATTAATTCCTTGAGTGCTGCGGAAATCCTCCTCATTCACCCGAGGAGATGAACCTGGGCTTTACTCCAGAAATCCGTCTTAATCAATCTCAAAGATGAGCCTGGGCCGTGCTGCAGGAGTCCATCTTTTTTTTTGAACAGAAAAAATATTTATTAATAAGCAAGTATAAAGTATAAAGGGTATCTCAACCTATAATCATCATACTTTAATCTTAATCTATTCTACGGATGAGCCTGGGCCCTGCTCTAGAAATTATTACTTTTGATCCTTTCGGATGAGCCTGGGCTGTGCTCCAAAAGTTCGTATTTGTATTTCAATGATGAGCCTGGACCAAATGTTCGTAGGTAGGTTCAGGAAGGGAACCAGAGGGGTGCAAGGGGGGCGCTCGCCCCTTTAGACTTCTGAAAAAAAATTAAATAGATCTTATACTTTTAAAAAAATCAAATAAACTTTTTTTTTGAAAAAAATAAAATGGTGTGTTCTAATTTTTATTTTTTATAAATTTTAGGATAATTACTAACCACTTGATAAGTAAAATAAATTTAATAAAATATTTTTATTTGTTTGACATGTTTATTATTGCAATATATGCATAATTGATGATTATTTATATCAAGCAACAAAATAAAATTGACTCAAAATTAGTATTGTCAATTCTTTAAAACATTAAAGTTTTCTATTTGGATCACATTAACTAATGTTTTGAAAGTTGTGTTTCAAGTTAAAATTTAAACACACATAAATTTTAACAAAATTTTCTATATTTAAGGTCCTTAAAATTTTAATTTTTATATATTTAAGTTTTAATCTTATTTATAAATTACAAGTCAAGAAATTCATTTTCAACATACACATTTCAAATAGCACTTTGCCCCCTTAAGATTATTTTCTGGCTCGTCCTTGGGTAGGTTGATTGTTTCTGGAGAGAGGCATGGAAACTTAATATGACTCTCTCTTACTCTTTTAAAATGAAATCGTGGCTATAAAACGATTCTAGGCTCAAATTTTTTGCAGGCTTTATCATTTTAATGGTGATGATTTTTACATTTTGTTTTATGAAAGGTTGAATCTGATGGCATGATTGAGTTAAAATTGCAATCTTAATGAAAAGATTTTATACGACGTAGAAGATGACTGCATGAGTGGGATTGATTCTCCCTTTATGTTGCAGGTGGATGACTACTCACGCGCGCACCAACATACCCAGTATATGTGCAGTTGGTGATGTTACGAATCGAATGAATCTTACACCTGTAACATTAATGGAGGGAACCTGCTTTGCAGTTTGTATTCTGTCTGGAGTTCCTATATTTCTCTGCATTAAATGTTATATGGTTGTTTATTATTTTATGCATTTAACAATCTTAAGTGCATTGCCTGTAGAAAAACTGTTTTTGGTGGACAACCATTCAAACCAGACTACAACAATATACCCTGTGCTGTGTTTAGGTAATGTTTGTACCTTTTGGAGTATGCCTCATGATTTTATTTGATTATTGAAGATTTCCCAAAACAGGAGCAAATATTTATTTGTCAGTTCTAATGGACAGGTGTCACTTATGCAGTGGAGCTAATATGATCCTTGCTGGAAAGGAGGAACAAGGGTTCACTACTGCTGAGGGTATTTTCATTGCAGGCTGGTCAGAGGAGAGCTATGGGTAAGTATTTTGCATAACAATCTTTGGTAACTGTTTCTAACTGTAGCTTCATTAGATACTTCTCGTCCTTCTATAGTTAGAATATGCATAAAGATTGGTAATAAAAATCACTAACATGTTGACCATACAACTTATCACGATTAGTTGCTTGCAC